GTGTCCCCAGTGTCCCCAGTGTCCCCTGCTGTCCCCGCAGCGTTGCCAGCACTGTCAAGCACGCCCTGTCCATCTGGCTCAGCATCATCGTGTTTGGGAACAAGATCACCAGCCTGTCAGCCGTGGGCACTGTCCTGGTCACCGTGGGCGTCCTGCTCTACAACAAGGCCAAGCAGCACCAGCAGGAGACCCTGCACAGCCTGGCCATGGCCCCGCAGCCCCCAGGGCCCACCGAGGACACCGAGCCCCTGATCCCCACGGATTTGGAGCCCTATGATTGATGGGGCTCTGCAAGGAGACCCTCCTGGATGGGGCTGTTCCTTTGAATTCCTCAAATCCTCCTGGATGGGGCTGTTCCTCTGAGTTCCTGAAATCCTCCTGGATGTGGTGGTTCCTCTGAGCTCCTGAAATCCTCCTGGGTGGGGCTGTTCCTTTCAATTCCTCAGATCCTCCTGGATGTGGTGGTTCCTTTGAATTCCTCAAATCCTCCTGGATGTGGCTGTTCCTCTGGTTCCTTTGAGTTCCTCAGATCTTCCTGGATCTGGCTATTCCTCAAATCCTCCTGGATTTGGTTGTTCCTATGAGTTCCTTTGAGTTCCTCAAATCCTCCTGGATGTGATTGTTCCTTTGAGTTCCTCAAATCCTCCTGGATGCGATTGTTCCTTTGAGTTCCTCAAATCCTTCAGGATGTGGCTGTTCCTCTGAGTTCCTTTGAGTTCCTGAAATCCTCCTGGATGTGGCTGTTCCTCTGAATTCCTCTGAGTTCCTGGCAGGTCTTACCCAGGATTTGAAGCTAGAAGGAGCTGGGAAGGATCCAGGAAAGCCTTGGGAATCTGATGCTCCTAAAAGAGGACCTGGAACGTGGTAAATGTGGGCTTTGCTGTCTCTCTCTGACTCCCAATCACATCCAAGCCTGTGCTGGTGGAAGAATTTCGGTGTCCTGTGGGAGAACAATTCCTGTCTCCCTCCACATCCAAACAATGTGAAAATGGGGCCCCACCACGGAATTCTGCTGGCAGAGGGATGGAATTGGTGCCTCGTGGAAGTTTGTGGCTGTTGCTCTGCCTTTCCTGCATCCTCCCTTATTCCTGAGTGCTGGAGAGATGGAAGGAGGTCCAAGGAGGAGATTGTCCCACCCTGACCTCGCCTCAAGCCCTGAGGGCTTTTTGGGCTCCCAAAAATTACCAGATCTCCAGGAGCACTTGGACAGCACAAGAAGGGATTTTTGGGGTGGATTTTGGTTTCTGTACAGGGCAGGAGTTGGACTGGATGGTCCTTGTGGGTCCCCTCCCACTCAGGATATTCCATAATTCTAAGAGGGATTGGAATTCCCACCCTTCTCTCCCAAAAAAATCCCAACTTTATAGGTTTGCTTGAAGCAAACTGTGGGAAATAAGCTGTGGTGAGCACCTGCTGCTGGCTACAAATCCAGGATTTGTAGTGGTTTAAAATGTAAAAATTGAATGTGGAAATATTGCATTCTTATAATTCGTTGGCAAAAATGAAATGCAAATATTCACACATGTACCCTGTGTAAATGGAGTGTTGAATTCAGTATTTGTAGTTGCTTAAGAGTTAAAAAAACAACCACTGAAAATTGTGGTGATAAAGGAAGCAGGATCTCTGTATTTCTGTAAAAAACCATTTTGTTGTTTTAATTTCATTTTATTATGCATGAGGAAAGAAATTGATGGGGTTTTTTATATTATTTCTAAGAGTGCAGCAAAAGGCTGCCTTTTAGAATCTCAGGGTTATGAGTCTGACCTGTGTGTAAAATATCTTATTTCTGATTATATAAAGAAATCTCATAGGCATCTGTGACAGATGGCAGGAATATTAACCATAAACTGAGGCAAATCTTTATTTCTGCTGCTTTCAAGTTTCCTTTTTTTTTAAAGGAAATTTGTTTTTGTGGTAGATCAAAGATTAAAAGTTAACTTTCCTTTTCAAAATTCTGAAGAACAGTCGGCTTTGACAAAAATAAAGCACACATGTAGCTACAAAAACATTCACATGAACTTTTTGGGAACAAAACTTCCATTAAAATGAGTGGATTTTAATAACTGCTACTATTCTGGAAGGTTGGAGCATGGATATATAGTGGTCTTTATGGTAAAAATAATGGTTAACAGGAAAATACAAGTGGAATTCTGTAAAATTAGATTTCCACATCTCAGTGACTACCTGGGGCAGATGCCCCAAAGATCTGAGGGAGAAAAATGCCAATTTTTTCATCCTTGTGTATGTGATATGTCTGTGGTATTTTGTTTTCTTTTGTACTCTTGTCATTTTTATAAAAGCTGTGGACTGTGGAGCTCTGTGTAATTTTTTTGGGTTTTTTTTTTAATTTGTTTTCTGCTAAATACACTGAGATTTTTGAAAGTATAACTACAAAAATGTGTGGTTTATGTCATATTTCTGCTTTAGGTGACAGAAATCCCAGCTCTGCTCTCACATATATCTCATAATTTTAAAATCCAGCAGGTTTTTGTTTTTCTGTCACCCTGGGAAGATTTGGGAATGGGATTTTAACCCCTCCTGCTCTGCTTGTGTATTTTTCTTTGCCATCTTTTTTTTTTTTTTTTTTTCCCTCAATTAAACAAACCAAAAACCTTTTTATTCTCCAGTCAGACCAATAAATCTTCTTTTCTTTTGTGTAAACAAAGAGGTTTTTGCTCTTTGTTTTAAATTCTAGAGGGTGTCCCAGCCCAGCTCTTCCTGTGACTGAAAAATCGAATTTTTGGCAACATTTTAGAGTTTCTGTCCTTGCATTTCTCGTGGCCACACCCAGGTACCCGTGACGAGGACAAGCTCTGTGAGCTGGAGCCGTGCACTTTATTTATTTTACATTTTTCATTCACTCGGAGCATTTCTTCCTTAAATGTGAATTCCTGATGCACTGAGATGCAGGTGGAAAGTGTTGGAGCACTCCCTGTGCTTCTTAATTCCCATTATTCCCCATTATATCCCGTTATTTCCCATTCTATAGCATAATTTCCCCTCATATTGTCATATTTCCAATGGGGGATGGATAATTAGTGCATCATGGGGATCATAATTAGGATAATTAGGGATCTGCTGTTCTGGGAACCTGGTGTCACCTCTGTCCCCTCCTCCCTCACACTCTCACTCATTCCCATGTAAGAACTGCAGCTTTTGGTTGGAATCAAACTTATTCAAACGCATTTATTCAATCCAGTTTATTCAGATTTATTCCAATTTATTCAAACGCCGCGCTTCGACGTGTAATTAAATGCGGCCCGGCGGTGCCAACGCTCCATTCCCAGCCCTGCCGCCCGTTCGCGGGGTTCATTAAAGCCCCTCGGCTCGGCCGTTCTGAGGGGGGAGCGGCTCAATTAACGCCTCATTAACGCCCTGCATTAATGACGGCGTCGTGAGGCGGCGCTGACGTCAGCGGCGCGCGGCGCGGCCGGAAGTGACGCGAGACTCGCGCGCTGCTGCTCCCAGACCCCGGCGGCGGTGAGCGGGGCCGGGGGGAC